TTACATGTTATACATTGACAAATCTAAACATTCTTGCTAAATGACGTATCTTAATTTACTTTTTATGTTTTTACAAATTTAAAATAACACATTCACAATATATTAATTTTTATTTAAAATTTTGAAGATATAATATTAATTATTATATATTTTTTTTGCTTTTACAGATACAGTCCTGACGAGATACACGCAATGGTAGACTTGAAGCCGGAGAAGAAGGAAGAAGACTGAGTTTTTTGTTAATGAACATGTGCTTTAGGACTGTATCACACAGATAAACGAAATGTAATAATACAAATTCTTCGCATTGAACATGCAAGAACGGAGATAAATGTAAGAACGAAGTATCCGTACGATGAAATCGCTATGAAATAAGTATATTCAAACGCAGAAGACTGTGATAGTCCGTCTTCTTTATTCAGATATGAACAAAAATCGAATCGGTCGTATGTACCAAAGACAGGGTCTGCATACCATTGGTGCCTAAAGTCGAATAAATCGCGAATTTGTTTTTAAGAGTGATTGATTTATCACAGCAGATTTTAGAGGATATTTATAGGAATAACTCGTCAATTTATACATATATATATATATAAATATATATTTTTAATGTTACATGATTTTTCAACGCTATACTAGCGTCAAGATACTTGGTGATGCCGCTAAATTATTTATGTCTCATCATTTTAATATGTGTGTTATATCTCGTTGATAGATGACTCGATATGTGATTGTTATTACAATAATTTTACAATAAACTCATTACAATATGCTATATAGCGAGCTTCTCAATCCGACACTTTTATGCTTTTTTGTATATGTATAGATTTTAATTTAGAAATTAAATTTAAACTATATTCTTCTTCCAAGCTCGCTTCTCTAAAAGAAGAAACATGTATTTTATATTATTTCTTAATTATTGAATATATCTAGTATGTGCTCGCGATATATTAAATATATTTAATATGTCCAATTGTAATAAGAACTCTCTGTTACTGATGTAATCTGAAGAAAATGTGTAAATTGAGAAAAGCGTTGCTAATGAAAAGAGTATGCTGTTAATTTTTTATATAATTTTTTTATAAAAATGATATTTACGGACTTGCTTTGTTCGCTAAGATACTCTCTTTGAGAAATTGTACATTTACATTTTTAAACACAACGTAAATAAATCATTTATCTAACGAGGAAAAGAAAGGGCCATGTGCAACCAGTGTTTCATAATAATTAACAAATACAGAAAATTAACAAATACAGAAAATACAGAGAATTTATTCGCGTTTTCTTTTAAAATTATTCATATTATTCGTATTATTAAAAGAATTTACGTCTATTTTTAGTAGAATCTTTTTTATTTTTATTTTTTTTATTTTAATTTTTTTTAGTTTTATTTTTTTTATTTTTATGAAATCTTAAAACATTACAATTATCATGTCTCTATAAAAATTGTATACATTTTTTTATTCTAAGACGTATTTAAATATTTGGTAAATTTATTGGATTAGACTTAAATTATTTTTTTACTCATGGAACACTGGGTAATGCAATTGTATCAAATTTATAGCGATATATATTTTTAACGATATACATACATATATGTGTATAAGACACGGTAATATCTCGCGTGCGCCCGCGATATGATATGGACAGCGAGATAATATCTATATACATGTATATCGCTACAGTTTCATATATATATATGTATATATATATATATAAAACTATTTTAAATAGTTTGCGTACATGATTAACGTTTTTATCATTGGAAATGTTATATCAATTGTAAATGATGCAGATGATTAATAGCACAAATTGATGAATTGAAATACGAGCAATATACTTCGTATTTTCCACGTGTCTTAAATCTAATATATATACATATATACATGTAATATTATATATAGAAGAGAGTGGTATAAATCGGACCGTGTTCCAAATAGGATCTTTTTAATTTAAATGAATATGGATAAGCAGATTGCGTACTATTTGTAATGTAAAGACCTTATAAGACACCGAACATGTGACAGCAGCTTGACAGTTCTCTGTCATAACATTCATAAAATAGACATAAATATGTGTTTTTAGCCATCGTGCGAAAATTTTTTTAAAAAAGACAATCCTTGTAAATCATGTAAAAGGTGTTAAAAACTTGAAAGGTAATTGATTTAAGATAATTAAAGAGTGTAGAATTAAAAAATATCAAGCATTTTGTGATCACTTTTGCGATTTATTATACAATATTTGTTAAATGTTCTATATAATTTTTCGAAAGGACCCGTGTCCAAATCGGACAAGTAGATAACTTATAGGCCTGGTTGTAGTACTAGTGATCGGCCGACTAGATCTGGTCCAAGGAATTAAATCAATAAAATATCATGAATCATCAGATTCAAATTAATTGAATTTTATTGATTTCAATTCTAAATACAATATTTGTTAAATGTTCTATATAATTTTTCGAAAGGACCCGTGTCCAAATCGGACAAGTAGATAACTTATAGGCCTGGTTGTAGTACTAGTGATCGGCCGACTAGATCTGGTCCAAGGAATTAAATCAATAAAATATCATGAATCATCAGATTCAAATTAATTGAATTTTATTGATTTCAATTCTAATAATATAAACTGTCAGTAATTTTTTTCTGAATAAAATTTGTATCTTTGATTGTCAAATTGCTCGTTTTTACTCAATACTAACAAAAATACATTAAAATATTTTAAAATTCTACTTAAAAGTCCATAAAATAGGAGTGTCCGATTTGGAATCGAACCAATAGTTCCAAATCGGACCGGAAAAAGCATTTTTACATTTTCCATTATAGTTCAACACAGATGAGAAATACGTCAAAGTGATCTGAAGCAAAAATGAAAGGACTTAAATGATCTTTCCAACGATACCTTCGGTTTTACGATCAAACTTTATTTACACCTTATAGAGAGCAAAAACTGTAAATAGGTCCGATTTAGGCCACCCTCCTCTATAATATATAATTATACTAATATAATTATATATAATATATGTATAATTATAATCAGCATGATATATGTATATATATGTGTATGTATATATGTACGCATTATATGTACGACTTAAACTATTTTTATATCCGCTGTGTTTGTTAAGTTTCCAAATACCAAAATAATTTAAACTACAAAATAATAAGAAATACCATAATGTCTCTTTAGATCATAATTAACAGTATACTAATTTCAAAGACCGTTCGTAAGTTTATTGTGCGGATTGTTATAGAAAGATATAAAATTGCTAGCGACTTTATCGAGGTCTCCCATTAAAGCTATCAGGATTCTTCGCGGTAATCGTTACGATTAAAGTTTCTCCTAGTTGTGTCGTTCACCCGAATGTTAAATAAATTATATTAATAAATACTCTTAGCGCACCCCGAACGCAGGGTGAAGGAACCGTGTAAAGCTATTCGAATGTTAATATTAAGTTGTCACGTTCTTGGCACTTGTTATTAAAGAAAAAAAGAGAGAGCCATACTTCTTTTCCAGGATTATATACATAGCATTTTGAAAGAGACGAATACAGGAACTTTTTAGTAGATGCAATAAGAAAAAAAAGAATAAAGAGATTTTTATAAATACATTCGCGATTGATCACCGCTTATTTCTTCCCTCCACTTAACTTTTTTATTGAATTGGAAACAATGAGATCACTTTCGCGTCGCTTTTTGCATAATGTGGAAATCTAATTGTGAGATCTCCCGCGTTGCAAATCACAACAACAGACCTGTTTGTTCCGTTTACATTTTAAAGATCATAGTTCATCACACATTTTACATATTTATATATTTACTCTTTTTATATAGAAAATTTCCATTTATACATATACATATATATTTATTTATATATATTATGAGGTCTATCCGGAAAGTATTTGATCTTTTGTTTTCAATGTTTTTCATCCAATTTTCAGTATTTTCTCGAAATTTTCAACGTTTTTTCCGTAAGGGCGATGTTTACACGACTACGATATCATTGTTCTTTTCTTTTTCCTTCTCGTAGATTTCAGATTAAATTGAATCTCGATCAGTACCATGACGACATAAACTGTGAGAAAATCTGCAGGGCCGTGCCGCTTGACGGGAGCCAAGCTCATGAAGGTTCCTCTAAATGAATACTCGTTTTTTACAATAGCATACCCAGGTGATATGCATACAAAGACATATCCATAGAATGGATATTTTCCAGACACTGGACAGACTCCGTATACATATATTCATTTAGTGTTCATATATTTGCATTATTATTCTCTTTATATACTAGAATTTCAAAAGATCATTTGCTTTTACCTGCGCACAGAGTTTTTTAAACAATCTTTCTGCTGCTGCGCGGCGAAATTTTGGAATGGCATCCCGCGCAGCATTTGGTGTGCCACGTCTCGTGATTAAGACAAACTGTATAATTATTTGCTTTGAAGCAAACAAAATGACAAATGCGATTGATCAATTCCGATGAACTAACTGGCCAGTTAAGTTAACTGAGCTTGGTGACAGTGGCTCTAAGTATAAGTTCATAACTCTTTTTGCGTCATATAACTTTGCGCTTGTTGTCTGCTCGTCTGTTCTCGCCTTTCTTTTATTTTGTTTTTATCTTTATTATTATTTTTATAATTTTTTAAAATTTTATTTTGATATTTTAAATTTTATTTTAAATTTTATTTTTATATTTTAGTTTATGTATTCAACTTTCACTATTATTTTATATTGCTTGATTTTGTATTATTTTTCAGCGCTTTAGAAGACTAGTTTTTAGAACACTTAATAAATGTAACGATATCTATCTATCTATCTATCTATCTGTATTTTTGTTTTTTAAGGTAATGGAGGAAATGTAAAAAGTGTAGATAAGAAGTGTTGTGGTTGTGCATGGATTCTCGACGCCATGATGAAAGTCTCTCCTGAACACTCCTGAAAGAAAAACGGTGCTTTCGTTATTCACTTTCTGATTTAGTTTCTCATTACAGAGCTGCAAGAACGATGCAGGATAACACAGAACAATCGACTGTGCAAATGTTGACGATGTCAAATATCGCGTCTTTCGGACGATGCGTCATAGAATTGGTACGCTATTTTTCGCACAATTATATTCCTATTATCCGCGAATAGTTTATGATGTATATACTAGCGCAAGTAACATGAAACGTTATGTCATTAATACTAAAAAAATAATTTACATAAGAATATACGTTTCCGTTTTTCTGACATTCGTAAATTCTACGCATTTGCAAATATGGCTATTGCGTTTAAAAAAATGTTAGATTCTAAATGCATCCATTTTAGAATCCATCATCTGCACAGTTTAATATATAATTTGAATTATTTAATAGGATATTATACATTCTTAATTTAATTCTCAAATTGCATTTTCTGATTTATTTATTTATTACGGCATTAATTGCGTTTTTAATTATTGAATTTTACATTTTGATCCATGTATTATCATAAAGAAAAGTGGAAACATTTTATCCCGGCATAATCTCATTAGTCTACCATATCTAATATATATTATCTTGTATCTATTTTTATTAAGTAAATTAAGGAACGAATGATAGCATACACATAAAACCGGATAAAACATTATAGGTAGCAAATTCTTTGAACGCACACGCCACGGCAATCGCAATAAGAATTCACACGACAAAATGCGAAATTCAAGTTGTCGATAATGGCGTCGGAATACCGAAAGACATGCTCAAACATATCGCGAAATATGACGCAGAAGCGACCATAGGCGATCAGCAACAGGTGTACAAACTGCTTGAATCAAACAATCTGACAGATATCCGTCGTTTGGCTGATCGTCTAATGATTACTTCAAGGCATCAATATTCTGAAGAGACATTCGTGAAGGTATTATTTGTAGTTGTTAACTTAAATTGTTATTAAATTATTTCGCAATATGAATGAAAATAATTATTGTAAAAATATAGACACACTCCTGTTGCTCTTGTCGTTACATCTTTAAAATTTTAAAATCAAGATAAATTAATTTTACATCGATAAATTTATTATTAATATTGAATTTAATTATAAATTTTATTATTTAAATTAAATTTAAATTTAATTTAATTAAGATTTTAAAAGATGGCTATATTATTTGAGATGTTTTCAAGAGTGATTCTTTTTTACTTATTTTCCTTAAAGGCGTTCGAGATGGGATTTGCACTCAATTTGAAGCAAGTAGAACAGAGACCTTCGAGAGGCACGACGGTCTCCATCTACGGTTTTCACGAAATGCCTCATAAAAAGTGGGATACATCTACCATTTGTTTTCTTATCGCGGCTATAGCTGTTACAAAATTAGAAGTACGATTTAATTTATAGTAGTGATTGTTAATTACGATAATTTATCTCATAATATTTTTTTTATATTAATACAATCAGGTATCATTTTCGATTAGAGACGAAGAACAAAAGAAGGTTGTTCTGAGAATTGCGAAACCGCACAACTCGATCGAAGTCCTAAGAACACTGGTTGGGAAGGATCTGCCATTGAATCATGTATGGTCGATACAATGCGGTCCTGAACGTAACAGCAATTATCATGGTTACGTGGGATTATCTGATAAAAACGCGATGCAATGGATATTTTTAAATCACAGGCCGATCTATTGCCCTCTCATTCTGAAGTTGATTAAAATTGTCTTCAAAGAGAAGCTAAATTTGTTTTCTGATCAGAAATCTAATGCGCGCGATCCATACGACGAAAATGTGTTTATCTTATTCTTTCTTACGTTCTCACAGAAGGAATTCATGCGCGTTACTGAAAACGGAAAAAGGTACATCATGTTTTATAATATACAAAAGATATTAAATACTATTAAAAATTGCGCCTTCCAATGTCTCGGAGAAAAAGCTACAGTTTCTGCGGTTACCCCTTATTCATGTAAAACGCAGCTTTTAAAACAAATATATTTAAAAACAGAAAAATTTGTTTTTGCCAATGATATCAATAGATGTAAAAATGTTACGTCTTCGATGATGAAAAGCAGAATGATTATGCTTGAAAGAAGAAAAATTACGTCGACGATTATATCAACCGATTATTTCAACAAACAGCATAGAAGTGATAATATTAAAACTGCCAACTGTTATATAGACAAGAAAAATAATGACGTATTAAATAGCATCCAACATCAAATAGATTTTACTTCTGTGAACCGTGCAAACTTGTATGAGAATAAAGTTATGAAAAAGATGCATAATGACGTTTATAAAACGCAAGGAAATTCCATGAATTTTGACATAACAAATAATTCTATTAAATCTGATAAAATTTATTGTGGCAATAGCAATTATCATACTATAAACATGATTTCTCCTCTTTCCGAATGGTCGAATTGGACTTATTATACAAATAATAAGAAGCGCGATACTACAAGAAATATAAATATATTTCCCGAAAATGACATACGTTCCCGGCAGTTTTTTGAACGTAACAATAATCAGTTTGATTTTCTGCCACGAAAACTGCACGGTCTTCTACAACATCGTCATGTTAAATTGACAAACGTAAAATGTTTTAACAGTCCTAATGATACGATTCCGTGTAAGTAATTTTTAACTTTTAGATGGAACAATTTATATAACTCAGTTTGATAAATATTTTGAATTTAGTGGCAGAAAATTGCCAACATGAACAAATAGCGGTGCATCCTTGTAAGTTGAAGCAAAAATTATACGAATTTAGACTGTCACAAGCATCATTAAAATGCATAAAAGTACGTACGTAAATTTCAAAACCATAAATTATCTCAAAAGGAGCTGTCTTGATAAATATATTTTTTTGTAGATCATTAATCAAGTTAATAACGAATTTATCGCTGCGTGGATGACGTGGAATGAAATGAAAATTTTATTAATGATCGATCAACATGCCGTCCATGAAAGAATACGTTATGAAAATTTACTTCTTAGTAAATAATTATAATACTTTTTTTTGATACAAATAATATTTTTTTAACTGAATAGTTTATTTAAAAATTAAATAAAGTATTAAATTAACTTTTTAATCAAATAAATATGATATTATAAGTATAATACTGAATCTTCTTGTAATGTTGTTATTATTATTATTATTAGGATACAAGGTGCAAAATGAGAACGAGTTGCTCGCGGTTAATTTGCGTGATCCTCTATCTTTGGAATTTCCTACAGAAATGTGCAATTTATTCCTACGCAATCAAATTTTGTTGAGGAAATACGGCATAAGTTTAGGATCATTAAAGGAGAATACGTTATTAATACGCACAGTACCGCAATGTTTGGTTACAAATAATGGTCCCTATAATAGCGAAAAATTATTGCCAAAAATCTGTGGTTTATTAAACGATGTGATAAAGAATTGTAGTACAAGTCAAACAAACGCATTACCGTTAACTATTCATAATGCTATAGCATCTGAGGCTTGTCATGGTACTCATTATATTGTTTAATATTTATGTATATGATTATGTATATACAGGGTGTTAGTTAAGTATGTTGCCATACTCAACAGAGCGATTCTTTATTTCAAATAAAAAAATCCGTTTAGGACACACGTTTATATGGACTTTTTTACTTGAAATAAATCAAAGAATCGCTTTGTTGAGTATGGCAACATACTTTACATCCTGTGTATATATATATATATATATGTATAGTGGTTGTTATATTAAAGATTTATTACGTCAAAGAGGACTGTGTTTCGAAATATTCCAAATCTATAACTGTATTTTATAAACTTTCTTTTTTTTTATTAGTTTTGGAACTTTTTAGGTGCTATTAAATTCGGCGATAAACTAACTTTGGAGCAGTGTACAAGTCTTATACAATTATTGAAGCATATGAAGTTTCCCAATCGATGCGCCCACGGACGACCGACTATAATACCAGTGATAGAATTTTCGGAATTAGAAAAAAGGAGCACCAGGATATCTGAGGTAAGCATTAAAATTTTTCCCTTCCGATTTTATTGTAGGAAATATAAAATGATCCATGAGAAAGAGAGATCTCGCTTGTTTTCTTTTTCACAATTAATACAAGTTTGTACATATTCAATACATAAATGAATAAAAGCACAAAATTCGCCTTAAAATATCATGCTACATAAATATATATATATACGAGTATGTGTATATATTAAGGGGATCCTAAAGCCGTCTGTATTACCGATTAAATCGTAATTTTTGTATAACAAATACTTTTTTCTCTTTCACAGATTCGGAAATCCTTTTCCAAGATTAAAGTATACACATTAATACGTGTTTGTGAGCTGGAGTTTATACCGAGAACGATAAAAAATTTTTTTTAAGATTTCAATTTCGAAATTTTTTGTCATTCTCAGCATAAATCTCATAAACACGTATTAATGTGTATACTTTAATCCTGGAAAAGGATTTTCGAATCTGTGAAAGAGAAAAAAGTATTTGTTATACAAAAATTACGATTTAATCGGTAATACAGACGGCTTTAGGATCCCCTTAATTAAACTAAAAGCAGTATGAGAACATACAAATTTTATTTGTTCTATGACATAAGATTAATTTTGACATAAGATTTGTCTGAACGTTTTTCTTAGAGGTACTACTGAAATTTTTAATCATACAATTTATAAAAAAATCTCAAAAAAGTTTTAATTCGGACTTCATCATGCAACAAAGCCGGCGATCAGAATATCTTTGCCGAAATAGTTAAATCTGGTAGAAACGAGGTTGACATCTTTTCCGCCCAATGAAACCGGACAAACGTCGTTCGGACGCAAGTAGAAGCATACTGTGTAAAGAGCCATTTCTAACTCGGGTGAGAAACCGACGAGAAGGGTCGTGATGGAATGTTTCGTGTCAGGTACATTGAATGCCGAACGTATCTTGATAACTTCTGCCTTCTGTGAAGACAAAGAAATTATGTAATAAACACGTAGAATAAATTATCAAATAGGTGAGTGTGTCGTTACTTACGTCTGCTAGTTTGATATCTTTTATATATCCGCGATAGTCGAGATTCTTCTGCGCCTCCTGTTTGGCAAAGTAAATCCAATTTTGTGGCCCGATCATGTAGGAGTCGAGCTTCTCTGCGAGGAATACTGCCTCAAAGCCAGAACTTGATGGCTCTCCCTCAACTCGCTGGAATTGTGAGAACCAAATACGTTTCAGAGTGTCTTTAAACTCATACTCGTCATTCGGAATAAATCCCTTGTCGGCCAGGTACTTCATTGCCGTTTTAAACACATCAGTCTCCATAAAGTTGTCGAGCAGCTCCGTTTCCTCCTTACGCTCGTCGGGCGTGACAGTTTCTTTCGTTTTAACGTCTATCGCATAATTATCGTGCAACGCCAGCACGCTTTTAATCGTCGGGATTTCATACGCTTCCGGTTTGACGTCGAGTAGGCTGAAATTATATCAAGACGAGGTCAATGAAACTCTTAATGCGCGGAATTATTTTGTCCAATTATTTTCTTCAACATGAGGATAACGGTTCTAGCTACTTACGGCAAAGGAGCGTCATCCGTAGTACTATCTTCCTTCGTCTCACCCTGCAGATTTACAGTGATGTACTTGTACGCGTTGTTCTTATCCGCCTCGAAAAGACTTTCCGATAGCTTCTTCACTTCATCGTTAGAGATCGGGTAATTCGGCTGAGTCGGATTGCTTTCTTGCTGAGGACTGGGCGAATTAGCATTGCTAGGTGCGCTAGCTTCAGCCTTTTTATCCGCTTCCTGTGGCGGCTGAACCGGCATTGCAGAGCTGGGCGGATTGGAGGCGGCGGAGGCGGCGGCGGGGCCAGCCGCACCGTTATTATTCGCAGGCGCTGCCGGTGCTTGCCCATTAGTCGGATTCGACTGATTGTAATAATAATTATTGTATGTAATCTCGGTGCGGCTACCACCGGCACCGGCGCCGTCGCTGTTACTATATCCCGGACTTCTGCCATAGATGCCACCCGGTAACAATCTGTTTACAGCCGCGCTCACGCCCGCGCTCACACTGGAATAAACCAACGCTTCCTTGGCCAGTTGACCGATACCAGGTCGGCTCGGTTGCAGGACGGTGAGTGCCGGCGCTTGTGCGATAGCCGGTTGAACGTAGGATGGCTGGGCATAGGACGGTTGACCGAACGATTGCTGTCCACCGAAACCGCCGTGGGACTGTCCACCGTAAGGACTGTAGGCTGGTGGCGCATTATGGTGCATAGACGGATTGTAAGCCTGGCCATACGGTGAGTGGCCACCGTAACCGGGGTACGAAGGATTGGCATTGTAGGACGGGTAGCCCTGGTTGTAACCCGTGCCGCCATAAGGATTGCTGGCGGGTTGCCGAGGATATCCGCCTAGAAACCATATGGAAAGATTAGAATTATAAATTCTATGAAAATTACAATCTTTATGCAATTATACGAAGAGATTCACGCAGCACAGATTCTCAAAGGGACGCCCTGAAGACGTCTCTATGTCCTAAGGATGTGCTCAGGATATCCCTTAAATAAAAAGTGCTGTTTGGAAATTGGTATTTTAAAAGGAGACTTTAAATCTTGATAAAAATGAGATTTTAAAATCGTAAATCAAGATTTTACAAGGAGAAATATTGTAACTTTAACTTCAAAAAATACTTCATTAGATATAATTTTAGCAATTTTAATCTCCTATATCGTAAATGCAAAAAGACGTAGAGATTTTATTCTCGAGTGTCTTATCGAAATTTAAACTGCCAGTACATTAATTTCATTCCCCCTATTTTAAGATATGAAAGGATAATTAATATACCCGATGGAGTATATGGTGGTGCGTTCGCAGCTGGATATCCTGATTGCACATTCGTCGCGCTAGTCTTGGAAGCTTGTTCAGATACTGGAGGTTTGACATTGCTGGTCCCGGAACTCCCGGATGCTTTATTGTTAGTGTTCTGTACGTTCCATCCTATTTTACTCGGATTTGAGCCTGCATAACGGGATTGATGATGTTATTAGAGACGAATGAAACATGCGAAGCCGTAGAAGGTTATTATCTATATGAAGCAGTGACTCATCGAATTTGTAAGAGATCTGACGCGTAGATACATAAACATTTGTAAACCACGGCGCAATTCTATGTAAAACAGTTATGAAAAATATCTTAAACCGATGATCTTTTACGATTATAGTTTTTCTGAATCGACAATACGGAGTTTTCTTTTTTCATTGCTACAATACATATATATATTGTGTATATAACAATATACATATATTGTGCAACACGATGCTACATATTAGAAGAACTGACGAATACAATCTCATGAGTAATTTAAAAAATAATTATTATGCAATAGAGATATATAATACTATTATAGTAAAACGTATAGATAATAATATAACAATATAAATATGCAGTGATAAAATGTGCATAAATATAATATTACATACCTGTCTGTGAGGGCCGTTGAGTTGTTCTGTGAGAAGTTCCTCCTCGCCGAGAGGTACTTCGAGAGGCGGAGGAGCCCCAACTACTACTACCGCTTCTCCGTCCGCTGGTTCTACGACCATCTGTGTCCGCTGTAAGCACAATGTTATACCTGCAATTTATTATATGCAATGATTTCAACATTTAACTACATCTCATCTTTCATCTCATTATCAGCTATGATTAATCATTACTACACAAAATTCGATTTATATCTTTTCGTATATCAGTACTTAAATATTAAAAATTAAATCGACATTTATGCCACTTCGTAAAGGAAAATTCTTGAGAATACTAAGGAGAATTGTAATTTATTGTTAGAGTATTGTAACTTAGAATAAGAAAGATGAAACATAGCTAAAGATACAGTCTTCGTAATTTAAATTTATGTACAGATGTACAAGCAAATTTGTATGTGTTATAAAACTTCAGAATATTCCCAACAATTTCCTACTGTGAAAATTATTAAAAGTAGTAGTCATATTAGAATGAATCGAGATGTCAGATAGATTTCTGCGTCATAAAACACGTTGATTGAGTGCTTATTAAGCTATCTATATAGAACTTGGTGTCCTCTTTTATTTCTCGCGATTCGACACCGGTACAGATTGCCAAGCCTATTGTTCTTCAACAGATTATTATATAATGTAGCGGCAATTGCCTGTTCACTCATTGGCTCAATATTATGTATTACGATGAATACCTTTATTGAGAGTTCGTGCGCACATTATACAAGAGAAAGATATATAGATATATTCAAAATCAAGTCCATTTACATTTTTTTCATTCTCTTCGTAATGAAAATAGCAATTTTTATTAATAATTATTTCGATATAGCTTTACAATCACACATATGTCGTTTTTAAATTTATATGTAATTTTTTGCAATTCTTCTAAAAAAGCTACTATAATCGTAAGAGAAAATTTCTACGATTTTTTTTATTGTTTGTACAACATTAAATTTGACAAATGCATCTTAAAACAGTTTTCGTACGTGACTTTCGATGAGAATCTCCAATTTAGTATCATAAACGCAGTAATGCAATTATAGTAAACGCCGTCAAGTGAATAATACCATATGAGGAGCACATTGACGACATGACGTTATGAGTAAGATGGAAGAGCAATTTGCTCTACTGATTTCACTTATTACGCAGTCTATATTTGTTAGTCAATTTATCGGCATTATACGTAAATCTTACGTGACTTTAGAATGCTTCCTCCATTTTTTAACGTCTAATTAAACAGCTGATCCATTATTCATACATTTTATTTTCTTGCATATTTTAAAATATAGAACAAATTAAAAATTATCAATTTTATGAATCGTAAAAATATGCATAAGTTCAATTCCGTCACTCTCCCTATAATACACACATACATCATTTTTTTTATTTTATAAATGACACAAGTCAAACGTGTTTATTAATTAAACATATCCTTTATATTTTTTTTAATGATGAAATAACTGGTTTTTTCAAATTCACAACATATGTATTGCACACAATGAGATTTTCTGACTAAATTAGAAATTACGTTTCCATGCACAATTGCTAGTAATTCGTGAGCTATAAATTAGCTTTAGTAATTCGTGAATTATAGGCAGTTAGAAGTGAATAAGTTTCCACGAACTTCTGTGCTTCCGTGTTAACACGTAACTTGATTTCAAGGAAAATTTACTCAAACAGATTTTTAATTTGGAGCGTAGTCATCAAAATTTTAATAAAATTTTTTTACTAAAACTTGATTCTCGATTAATTAAAGTATTATTTCATTGTTAGAGCATTTCACATAGATTTTGAAAGCATATTCTAAAGTTTAACAAAATTTAAAGTGATTATTAAGATAATTAATATCAAACTTTAATACTTTTGAGGCTTCCATGGGTATTTTCTATAATAGAAGCTTTGTATTTCATGGCTTATCTCCGTGTTTATATCCATTCTTGAAAAATACCAGTTTCGTAAACTACTTCTCGCTCTGATGAAGTGAACTGGAACGTTCATAAAACGTTGGCATTTTAAGAATGAATATGGACACGGAGATAACTCGCGAAACGCATATACAGTTTTTAAATATCGAACTTTCCGTAAAAGCTCAACAAAATTATTTTAATACAAATTGATTAAGTGAAGAACTTATTAATGCACTTGATGCAAATTTATAAAAGCATCTTGTATAAATCCGATGATATTTTTCACACGCACCTGTTACTTTAACAACACTTTAATAATTATAATCTATAAATATCTGTTTAAAAATAACATGTACCATTACCGAAAATAAATAAAATCACAATCACGGTGATTAGGCACGTCTTGATTCTCATATTTGTTGTTGCCCGTTTCACTTCTGCCGAATTGTTGTCTCAATCGGTTCGAAACTCGAAGAAACCTCTGACACGCACTGTTTGCTCACACAGTCGACAGACTACTATCGTTCGACCTCATGCTGAACGGCCTAGACGCCAGTGACCATCGCCTGTAACATTGAATGATTCATGCTTTGCAGGCTTTCTCTTTCCACTGATCCTATGCGTCTGTAACATAGCTGTAATTGGTCGAATTATTCGATTAAACGCTTCTCAGTTTAAAACTTTAATTAATAATAATTCATTTATTAACACAATTTTTTTTAAACAACTATTAAAATTTTATAAAACTTAGATTATATTACTTAAAAGATATTCAAAGAAAGCTATATATGGACGGTATTTTCTAGATTTCTCGCGCTTTCTCTACAATTCCTTTAGTCATTTTCAGACCGATCTCTCCTTAATAAAAACTTGTGATTTTTCGTTTTTGCTCATTTTTTTACAAGGTTCATTTATTAAAATATTTATTAAAATCTTTTTTGTAATATATATATATATAAAATCTCAAAATAATGTGTTTTTTAAAAGAGATCTATTAAATTCAATATTACTTGGAAAAAACATTGCTTTGTATAAAAATATATTTTACTAACTCATATTATATTACAAATTTCAGAAAAAATTGAATTTTGCATTCTTGAAGAGAACATCACCGAAGTAAAAGGAAATCGTATTTTTCAATGTAAAATTACAATTGTTATCAAATTTTAGATACACACACGCACAACGACAAATAAAAATATTGTTTATTTAATTTCAAATATTATAACATTTTTTATCATATAAGAATAAAAGAAGAAAAAAACTATTATGTTTATTATAAGACCGCAAAAGTTTTCCAAATAAATTGCAATACATATACGTATTTCTTATTATTGTAACGAGATTTGTCGCATTACATGAATAAAAATTTAAAAAAGTAATTTATATATTCTAATCACACATTCTTACGTTTGATATTGTCTGTTAAAATGCGCTCAAACTGTATATTTTAATAATTATCATGTCCACAGTGTTGGGTAGTATCTCTATACATGTATCTAGATACATGTATAGAGATACATTTTGTATATCTAACCTGTATTTGAAGTACATTCAAATTCGAGTATTTGTACCTGTATCTAGATAAAAAAACACATCATCTGAACTAATTTTCAAATGCACTTTTCACAAATGATAAATAATATCGTCTTATAATTCTTAATCTAAATTATTTTATGATAATTATAAATTCTTTCAATTATCTAAATGTAACAAAAATGAATGAATAAATGATTCATTTAATAACTAATACATTATTTTACACATTACCATTATTACAATAAAATTAATGTAAGAGTATCTAAAATGTACTTGAAGATACTTTTAAAGTATCTGATATCTGTACCTGTATACATTTTAATATGTCTATATCTGTATTTAGATAAATTTTCGTACATGTAACTGTATCTGTATCAAGATAAATTTTAAGAGTATCTTACCCAACACTGCACACATGTCCAAGAATTTATTTATATGATACAGAATTAGAAAATAGGAAGCGCAAGATCTATAAGATCTTGCCCGTAATATCTAAATGAATGCGTGAAAATATTAAATTTCTTTCCGCCAAGTGAAACGGGACATAAATTATTCGGCCTGGTATAAAAACATATCGTGTACAAAGCCATTTCAAGTTCGGGAAGCGTGCCCACGAATATCGTTACGTTTGGTCTAATAATGTCATCCATTTGGAAGTTCAATTTCACCAATGAGGCTCTCTGTAAAAAACAAATAATTCCTATAACCAATTTTACAAATGTACAATATACTTTTATATTCTATTCGTGCATAACATTAGGACATGACAATATACTTTACATACATTATATATCCATAGATATAATATAATGACTCACGTCGCCAAGCTTCATAATATCAACGTATCCCATGTAATCAATACGATCCTTCGATTCCTGATAATTAAAATAGATCCAGTCCTGTACCCCAAGAAGCTCCGTACCATATTTTTCAGATGTGAACACTCGCTCAAAACCTGACGTAGCACCATTAAACATGTTGAACCAGATACGCCGCAAAGTGTCCTTTCTCTCGAAATCATCGGGATCGATGAAACCTCGATCTGATAACCATCGTAGAGCTCTGGCCATCACATTCGTATTAACAAACATATCTAATAGAAAGTCCTCTCTCTTTCGCTTTTCCGCTGTACGAGTTTCTTTCACAATAGAATTGTGTTCGTAATTGTCGTACAAAGCTCGAATAGCTAAGATCGTTGGATAGTCATATGCCTCTTCTTGCACGTAAATTAATCTGGAAACGAATAATGTATAAATAAGATAAGAATAGTAATTGGGATTGATTTAAACGCAAAACTTACGGTCCGTTAGCTGCATCGGTTACGTTTTCAGATTTACTCTGAAGATGTAACGTCAAATACTTGGATATGTCGACTTCTTGTTTCACGAATAACTCTTCGGTCAACATTAATAGATCGTCATCTGATATTTTATATTGCGGAGAATAAATAGCTGTTCCTTGATTGGACATTCCTTGATTATTTCCTATATTGCTAGTAGAAAATCCATTAGGAGGTACAACTGAAGGAGTTTCCACATTGTTAGCTGTACCTACTGTGTTTATGGAACTACCAACTGGATACGTTGTGCTACTGTTGCTTACAATAGTAGGAATTGATACACCCGGAGTAATAACTGGATTGTTCACTAGATTTAGATTGGGATTTGGATTGATAGGAGACGCAACGGGAACATTTCCTTGAGGTATATTTGATGAAGCCGGAGAAACATTACCCGGAGCAACTGTATTAAAATAATGATTATTGTAAGTTATATGCGTTTCACTGGTACCACTACTCGGACTGGTATCTCTATTCAGACTACTGTAATCAGGCACATAATGCTGATGCGGATTTATCAGCCTATTCACACCGGCGTTGATTGTGGAGAATACAAGTGCTTCTTTCACCATCTGACCAAAGCCTCTGCCGGTGTCTTGTTGACCGGGAACCATTATGACTGTTTGTCCAGGTATGTATGGTTGCGCTGCCGGCTGCGCCAGAACATGTTGTTGAGGATAATAAGTGTGTCCAGCTGAGCCATACGTTCCGCCGACGGGATGTGTAGAATAAGGATTTCCGAATGTACCTGATACGGGTGGCGGAATATGCGCTGGGTAACTGGAAGGATATCCAAACGATTGACTGGGAAAAGAATTACTGGGATTGTGCGTGGAAGGTACATGAGGTACGTGAGGTTGATTCGAATGACTGAAGGGATGATTGGGATAAGGAGGAGGATTAAAACCAGAAGTAGGATAAGGAGGATGCGAGTTAGGTGCAGAAGGAATGGGCATCGAAGTTGGATGCAGATCTTTGAAGCCGATGTTAGTAGAAGTGGGACCTGGTGGGTGAGATTGGCTCGGATTGAAATGAGGATTGCTCCATGGAGGATTACTAGGTGCAGTTCCTTGTGATGGGTTATAAGGCGCGCTTGGTTGGCCAAAAGAAGTTGGAGCTGCAAGAAAATTATATACATCTGCTAATTTTTAATTATGTTTATTAAATTGTTCATATTTGCTAATACATTTCTTTTTTTAATTTACGTTAATTGTGTCATAATCAGTAATTATAATTAACAAATATTATTTCTTGAGTATAAAGAATTTAAATGCATAAATTTATTGAAAATAGTAAAAAGTATATACCATGATTTTGCGAAGGTACCACAGTGGATTTCGACAAATGATTAGTCGACGGTGCTGCTGAACTATATGGATTGTACGGTGCTGATGGATTGTACGGTGCTGATGGATTGTACGGTGCTGATGGATTATGCGGTGTTGATGGATTATACGGTGCTGATGGATTATGCGGTGCTGATGGATGATATGGTGCAGAATTTTGTTTACTCTCTGTTGTAAAGCCTGATGTTCCATGACTCCCAGAATAAGTTCCTAATAGAAGGAGAATTAATTTTTATATAACAGAAAAAGACAAACGAATGAAAACAGATGTGAAATAAACAAAATATTAGAAATAATATCTCGGCTACATAACATTTGAAAATACTTTCTTTCTAATAATATATTCTAACTGTAAATAACAAGATTCATGCTAATAATACCTGTACTGCCATGTGGTGCTGATAGTCGATCAGATTGTCCGGAATTAGTTTGAGCTTTATAGCAACAAAAATATTCATATAAAAAATGAATGGTTCAGTAAAAAATGAATGAAAAACGGTTATAATTACTATTTTTTGTAACACTTACAGGGTCGTGTGGCACCTCCTCCTTCAGCTTGTAAAAATGTCGAAGATGCATCTTTATTTTGTTGATGCGAGGTTCGACCTACAATAAGAGTAAAAGATATAATTTTGCTATAACTACAGAAAGATTGGAATAAATAGTACCTTATCTTTCATTATAACCATATCATATACTGACTCGATGAAGTTGCAGTCGGATTTGATCCTATGTGTCCCCCTGATGAACTTCTATGTCCAAAAGGATTTGATCCTGTCATGTGTCCACCTGATGAACTTCCGAATCCGTAATGTCTTGATCCCGTTGTGTGGCTGCCAGATGAACTTCCATGTCTAGAACTGGAGCTTGAACTAGATCCAAGTCTAGACGAAGAAGAATATGAACTTCGTGATGACGAACTTCGTGATGACGAGCTTCGCGAGAATCCAGATCTTCCTGCATTTACATAATCTGAAAATGAAGAATAAGGTCCAATAAATCCAAGAAAAATGTTTTTTTCGTTGACATATTAAAAAGTTAATTTAACGTAGAGATAAAAAAATATTAGACAGTCAAAAATTACTTGAAATATTATCAATATAATAATGTAACAATTACATAAAAGCTTAATTTCAGTAATGTTACATAAAAAAAATGATTTATATATAATAATACATAAAATAATTTTATATAAAGCTATTGTGTCCGTACTTACTGGCTAAAATAAACGTTAAGAGAAAGAGAAATAGCAAAATTCGGACTTTCATCGCTATTATATGGAAACGATAGTCTTACACTAATTTGAGAACACTGGCGTGCTCGAAGGCTATAAGATGATAAATACATGTATATTTTTTTTACGTTTATCAGTCTTCTTAGTAATTGCGTCTTTCTTGGTAATGATATAGGCACGTTGGAAGATTACGTTATTGACCTTTTGACCATTCACTAATACAATTAAATGCTTTCAGTATAATTACAGCTGATAAACGTTCGTATCCCAGAATTACCATTTTATGTCTAAGCGTCAGCATCTTCTATTTCTACGAAAAAGTTATAAAAAATCAGTTTCCTACTCATACAAAATTTTTGACCGAATTGAGAATTTTGAATTGTGATGCTAGATTTTTATGTAATAAAATTCAATTCAATTTGATAATGAGAATAATGACATAGATTTTACATGGCACTTAATTCCATACAATTTGATACAAAAAGTATAGTTTGTTTTCGCAAAACTATGAGAACATTTTTTTATTTGCATATTAACATGTTTTTATTTAGGTATCGTGTTTCACTTAAGTCAGTTAGCATTCCACCACAATATTTAGGAGGAGTCCCGGAGATTCGACCGTATAATATAGTTGAACTATTTCAAATACTCGTTCAAATTTCACGCTGTTTAGTGGTCGTTAGTCACCACTGTCTTATGTCTAAAAGATGTCTAAATGAGGTCTTTTAGATATTTTATGCAATATGCATGTTATCTGGGCACTAGGATGTCATATTACAACATGATTCGCATGTCGGCTTGACAAGCTTGGCGCAAAATTTGAATGAGACATTTGAATTGATTTAACTCCTGTATCAAATTATCCTGTATCAAGTCTCTCAAACTCCTCCTACACTTAAAATTAATAAATTACAAATAATTCAACGGTACAAGTAATTTTTTACGCGTTGTCTGTTGATTCCTTTTTAATATATCTGTTTAAAATTTCTTCACTCGAATAATCTGGAAATGAGAGTTGTCTAAATCCTCTAGAAAGTTGACTAAATCATAGTCCACGAAACAAATCTCGTGCCCATCCTGGAAAACAATCACAATGGAATTTATAAAATGCAACTACACTGTAGGCGTTTTGTTTCATGTATTGCAAAATACTTACTGGATAACAGCAAGAATGATAACTCTTATAGAAGCTTTTCCTGATGTATCTAAAGTTATCAAATCAGTCAAGATTTTATTTGCACTTTCTTTAACAGATTTCTGGATCGTTGGTTGCTCTGAAAACGGTACTTTGAAAGCGATACGTACATATTTTGCGTGATTTACTTCAGTACATAATATACAAAATTTATTAATAACAAATCATATTAAATACTTAATCACAGTAATTATAAATTTAATAAAAAATTAAAATAAAATAAATAGTATGTATATATTATCAATATGTATGTACTCACCAATTGTCAAATTCAAGTTTGGCTTTATCTGTACTACTGCTCATAAACATACTTTTATCTTTCCTATCAATCTCTGTAATCCTAAAACATTCTTCGAATAGGCAATGGTACGTTCAAGATTGGAGCTAGATAGAGTAACTTTCTTTACTTAATCTATTCGAAACAGTCAATATATTAAAAAAATAATGATAGTTTTGCTAAAAATGTGATATAATTGTGATATAATTTTCTTTTTTATGACCATTTTTTAACTCTTTATTCTATAAATTATTATTATACTGTAATATTATAAAATTTATTTAATTTTAAATATTAAAAGATTATATTTTATCATGTAAGAATAAGATAAGAAAAGAAATTATTATATTTATTATAAAACCGCAAAAATTTTCCAACTAAATTGCAATACATATATTTCTTATTATTGTAACAAAATTTGTCGCACTACATAAATAAAAAAAAGTTAATATATATATTGCAATCACACATTTTTACATTTGATATTGTCTGCTAAAATGGGTTCAAACTGTATGTTTTAATAATTTACATTATCACGTTCGAGAATTGATTCATATTATACAGAATTAAAAAATAGGAAGCGCAAGATCTATAACATCTTGTCCGTAATATCTAAATGAATGCGTGAATATATTAAATTTCTTTCCGCCAAGTGAAACGGGACATAAATTATTCGGCCTCGTATAAAAACATATCGTGTACAAAGCCATCTCAAGTTCGGGAAACGTGCCCACGAATATCGTTGCGTTTGGTCTAATAATACCATCCATTTGGAAGTTCAATTTCACCAATGAGGCTCTCTGCGAAAAACAAATAATTCCAATAACCAATTTTACAAATGTACAATATACTTTTACATTCTTTTCGTGCATAACATTAAGACATGACAATATATTTTACATACATTGCACATCCATAGATATAATATAATGACTCACGTCGCCAAGCTTCATAATATCAACGTATCCCATGTAATCAATACGATTCTTTGATTCCTGATAGTTAAAATAGATCCAGTCTTGCACCCCAAGAAGCTCCGTACCATATTTTTCAGATGTGAACACTCGCTCAAAACCTGACGTAGCACCATTAAACATGTTGAACCAGATACGCCGCAAAGTGTCCTTTCTCTCGAAATCATCGGGATCGATGAAACCTCGATCTGATAACCATCGTAGAGCTCTGGCCATCACATTCGTATTAACAAACATATCTAATAGAAAGTCCTCTCTCTTTCGCTTTTCCGCTGTACGAGTTTCTTTCACAATAGAATTGTGTTCGTAATTGTCGTACAAAGCTCGAATAGCTAAGATCGTTGGATAGTCATATGTCTCTTCTTGCACGTAAATTAATCTGGAAACGAATAATGTGTAAATAAGATAAGAATAGTAATTGGGATTGATTTAAATGCAAAACTTACGGTCCCTTAGCTACATCGGTTACGTTTTCAGATTTACTCTGAAGATGTAACGTCAAATACTTGGATATGTCGACTTCTTGTTTCACGAATAACTCTTCGGTCAACATTAATAGATCGTCATCTGATATTTTATATTGCGGAGAATAAATAGCTGTTCCTTGATTGAACATTCTTTGATTATTCCCTGTATTGCTAATAGAAAATTCATTAGGAGCTACAACTGAAGGAATTTCCACATTGTTAGCTGTACCGACTGTGTTTAAGGAAGAACTACCAACTGGATATGTTGTGCTACCGTTGCTGACAATTGTAGGAATTGATACATCTGGAGTAATCATTGGATTTAGATTGGGATTTGGATTGACAGGAGACGCAACGGAAACATTTCCTCGAGGAATATTTGATGAAGCCAGAGAAACACTACCCGGACGAGCTGTATTAAAATAATAATTATTGTAAGTTATATGCGTTTCATTGGTACCGGTACCACTACTCGGACTACTGTAATCATGCTGATGCGGATTTATCAGCCTATTCACACCGACGTTGATTGTGGAGAACACAAGTGCTTCTTTCATCATTTGACCAAAGCCTCTGCCGGTGTCTTGTTGACCGGGAACCATTATGACCGTTTGTCCGGGTATGTACGGTTGCGCTACTGGCTGAGCCAGAACGTGTTGTTGCGGATAATAAATGTGTCCAGCTGCGCCATACGTTCCTCCAACGGGATGTGTAGAATAAGGATTACCGAATGTACCTGATATAGGTGGCGGAATATGCGCTGGGTAACTAGAAATATGTCCAAATGATTGACTGGGAAAAGAATGACTTGGATTGTTCATGGAAAGTACATGAGGTATATGAGGTTGATTCGAATGACTCAAGGGATGACTTGGATAAGGTGCAGAAGGAATGGGCATCGAAGTTGGACGCAGATGATCCTTGTAGCCGATTTTAGTAGAAGTGGAACCTAGTGGATGAGATTGGATCCGATTGAAATTAGGATTATTCCACGGAAGATTATTACTAGGTGCAGTTTCTTGTGATTGATTATAAGACACGTTTGATTGGCCAAAAGAAGTTGAAGCTGCAAGAAAGTTATATATATCTACTAATTTATAATTATGTTTAAATTATTTATATTTGCTAAAACATTTATTCTTTTAATTAACGTTAATTTTATGTCATAATCTGTCATTATAATTGATAAATATTATTTCTTAAATTTCAAGAATTTAAACGCATAAATTTATTGAAAATGATAAAAAGTATATACCATAATTTTGCGAAGGTGGATTTCGACGAATGATTAGTCGACGGTGCTGATGGACTGTATGGATTGTACCGTGCTGATCGATTATATAATTCAGAATTTTGTTTATTATCTATTCTAGAGCTTAATGTTCCACTCTTAGCATAATTTCTTAAAATATAGTCTACACCAGTGCCTAGAAAATTATTTCCTAGAAAAAGAATATATTTTTTTATATATAATAGAAAAAGACAAACGAGTGAAAATAGACATGAAACAAAATATTAGAACAAAATATTAGATATATCTCAGCTAACAAAACATTTGAAAATTCTTTCTTTCTAATAATATATTCTAACTGTATATATATAAATAACAAGATAATCAATACTAATAATACCGCCATATATATCGCCGTATGTTAATAGCCGACCTGATTGCCCGGAATTAGTTTGAGCTTTACAAAAACAAAAATATCCATATTAAACATTCCATAAAAAATGAACGATTATAATTACTATTTGCTGCAGCACTTACAATGTCGTGTGGCACCTCCTTCAGTTTGTAAAAACGTCGAAGATACATCTTTATCTTGTTTATGCAAAGACTTCTTTTGATCTACAATAAGAGTAAAAGATATAATGCTATAACTACAGGAAAATTAGAATAAATAATATCTTCTCTTTCATTATAATCACATCATATACTGACTCGATAAAGTTTCAGTCGGGCTTGATCTTGGTAATCCCTTTAATAAATTTCCAAAATATCCTCCCGTTTGTCCCCCTGATAAATTTCTATGTTCAAAAAGACTTGATCCTGTCATGTGTCCACCAGATGAACTTCCATGGCCAGTGGAGCCTGACCCTGTCGTGTGTCCACCTGATGAACTTCCAAATCCGTAATGTCTTGATCCCGTTGTATGGCTGCCTGATGAACTTCTATGGTTCCACTTAGAACTGGAACTTGAACTAGATCCAAAAAATCTAGACAAAAAAGAACTTCGTGATGAGCCTCGTGACAAGCCTCGCGAGATGGATCCCAATTTTCCTGTATTTACATAATCTGAAAATGAAGAATAAGGTCCAATAAATCCAAGAAAAATGTTTTTTTCGTTGACATATTAAAAAGTTAATTTAACGTAGATAAAAAAATATTAGACAGTCAAAAATTACTTAAAATATTATCAATATAATAATGTAACACTTACATAAAAGTTTAATTTGAGTAACATAAAGTTACACATAAAAAAAATGGTTTATATATAATAATACATAAAGCAATTTTAAATACAGCTATTATGTATATACTTACTGACTAAAAGAAACGTTAAGAGAAAGAGTAGTAAAATTTGGATCTTCATCTCTATTATGGAAATGATAGGCTTATACTAATTTAGAACACTGGCGTACTCGATGGCTATAAGATAATAAAAAATACATTTATACTTTTTTTACGTTTGTCAATCTTCTTAGTAATTGCGTCTTTCTTGGTAATGATATAGGCATGTTGAAAGATTACGTTACTGATCTATTGACCACTCACTAATACAATTAAATGCTTTCAGTATAATTACAGCTGATAAACGTTCGTATCCCAGAATTACCATTTTATATCTAAGCGTCAGCATCTTCTATTTCTACGAAAAAGTTATAAAAAATCAGTTTTCTACTCATACAAAATTTTTGACCGAATTGAGAATTTTGAATTGTGATGCTAGATTTTTATGTAATAAAATTCAATTCAATTTGATAATGAGAATAATGACATACATTTTACATGGCATTTTTTAATTCCATACAATTTGATACAAAAAGTAAAGTTTGTTTTCGCAAAACTATGAGAACATTTTTTTATTTGCGTATTTACATGTTTTTATTTAGATGTTTTGTTTCACTTAAGTTTTAAGTATTAGGGAGCATTTATACTGGCCGTAACCGTATGTCGTATGCCGTAATCTGTAAGAATTGAGTAATAACAGTCGAGTATTCCCCTCTCATTCGCCTGTAAGAGGAGAATACTCGACTGTTAGTACTCAATTTTTCATTGGACTGTTATTATTCAATTTTTCATTGATCAATTCTTACAGATTACGGCCCCAGTATAAACACTTCCTTAATTTCTTTACAATTAGTATTCCACCACAGTATCTAGGGAGAGTCCGGGAGATTTGACCATAAAACACAGTTGAACTATTTTAAATATCTCATATCATACCTCGTTCAAATTTTCGCGCCAAGCGGTTATCGGCCGTTATCACCGCTACAATTGTCGCATTCAGCAGACTCAACTGAACCTCACGCTGCTCCCATTCGGTTAGCTCTCAATGACCTCGATCAGGATTCCTCCCAGGATTCCAACATTGTCATTACTCGTGCCTTGTGTAATCCCTCGGCAAAGATCTGTCAATTATTTGTGAGCTTTGGCTTGGCCTGTGATCGTTTGTTATAATTTGTATTTTCGCGGCGCTTGTCCACGGCTACTCGCGGCGCTTCTGCGCCTGCGCGTGGTCCCGACATACCATCCTGTGCTAGCGGCGCGTTTACGCCGCTCGCCCTTCCGCCGTGAGATTCGTAGCCTTGTTAGGCTGCGTCTACGGTGGCAACGTGAAATTGTCACATTGCGCCGAAACTCCCGAATGACTGTATTGCATATTCGACTTTGAAAAATCCCATGACGTGATCTGGCCGTATTGCCTCCGGAGACTTTTGGGAGGCAGGAGCCATTAATTAAGAAGAAGAAGAAGAAGAAGAAACAGACTCAACTGTTGCGGATCAGATCCGTGAGCGCTTATTGCTATTGGACGATCTAAAAAAAAATACACTGATAACAGCAAGCGCTCACGGATCCGCTTCGCAACAGTTGAGTCTGTTGAACGCGACCATTAGGTCTGTTCTTTTTGCTAAAGTTCTTGCACGGTTCATCTTTCTTCCTTTTCTCTCTATGTTGGCGTTGGAGAGAAAAAAAAGAAAAGATGAACCATGCAAAAAATTCAGCTAAAAAGAACAGGCCTAATGTCATGTGATGACCCGCATGTCGGCTTGACAAGCTTGGCGCAAAATTTGAACGAGATATTTGAACTGATTTCACTCTCCTGTATGGTCAAGTCTCTCAGACTCTTCCTACACTTAATATTATTATATTACAAATACTTCAATGGTAGAAGTAATTTTTTACACATTATCTGTTGATTCCTTTTTAATATATCTGTTTAAAATTTCTTCACTCGGATAATCTGGAACTGAGAGTTGTCTAAATCCTTCATCGTCTACGAAACAGATCTCATGCCCATCCTGGAAAACAATCACAATGAAATTTATAAAATGCAACTGCGTATTTTAAATTGTAAGCGTTTTGTTTCAAATATTGCAAAATACTTACTGGATCAGCAAGAATAATAACTCTTACAGAAGCTTTTCCTGGTGTATCTAAAGTTATCAAATCAGTCAAGATTTTATTTCCATTTTCCTTAATAGCTTTCTGGATCGCTGGTTGCTCTGAAACCGGTACTGAAAAAGCGATACGTCCATATGCCTTTGCGTGATTAACTTCAGTACCTAATATACAAAATTTATTAATAACAAATCATATTAAATACTTAATCACAGTAATTATAAATTTAATAAAAAATTAAAACGAATTAAATATTATGTGTACACTCACCAATATCTTCAAATTCAAGTTTGACTTGATCTTTGCTATAACCCATCAACACACTTTTATCTTTCCTACCAAATATTTGTAATCCCAAAATATCCTTCCAATAGGTAATGGTACGTTCAAGATTGGAGCTGGATAGAGTAACTTTTTCTACTGGATCTATTCGAAACAGCCAATATTTAAAAAAAAAATAAGTTTTGCTAAAAATGTGATACTGTAATTATTTTCTTTTTCATGACCATTTTATAACTCTTATTCTATAAATTATTATTACTGTAATATCACAAACTGATTTATACAATTTTAACTTGAAAGTGATCGTTGTGCCAATATTGTTAAAAGTATAGACTGACTTTCTTTATATTTACCACTGTTAGTAGGAGATTGCTCATTAACAATGTAATATTTATATCCACCAGGTGCCTGTACTACAAATTTTCCATCTTCTTCATGTATTGGCCAATTATTTGCACGTGCTTTTTCAATCACATCTTTTGAACGTATAGTGATAGCTTTGAAATCGTTTCCAGTTTCATATTCTTTAATCCCGTAATTATATGTCAACTCAATGACAAAATGTGTATCCTCGGGGCCATATCCTATCATTGTTTTGCTCCAACGATTTGCATATGGTCTATAAAAGAAATGTATTTACAATGTTACAAAATTTTAATGTTTTATATGAATAAGGAATGTGATTCATTTGATACTAACAAAAAAAAGATATAGCATAAAATATAACACAAAAAATATAATACAAAATAAATTGTATTGTAAATAATATTGTAGATTATGTTAGATTAATTCTAAATGTGCAAATATCAACAGGTTGAAAGGAGCCGTTTGATATTAGAAAAATTTAAAAGCAAATACATCATATATATAATGATAAAAAAATACAAATCAATAAATATATATATATTTATTGTTACATTTTATATTATATTAATAATTAATATAAAAGTACAAATTCTCTTTTTTTCGTTGTTTCAAGTACATGGAAAATGTATAGTAAACGCATTATCAAGAAATGATTCCACCACAATGACAAGTCACAGCGATTACTCACCCGTTGCACGCGGCCTCGCATCCATCTGAAAATTCCTCGTGTCTCAACACCTGCAGAGACACATAATCCAACAATCAACAAATCGAATCGCGTGACAAACAAGGAAAACAAAAGAAACTTGTTATTACCTTCATCCCGAGAATCTCTCGATAAAACTTTGCCGTTAACCCGCGATCCGGTATCTTGAATACAAAATGCAACGCGCGTCCAGCAACCATTTTTTCCTCGAAAATCGTATCTTTTCAATAACCAGTAGGTTTACGATTAATCACAATCGACTGAACCGACAGATTCAGAAGCAGAAAATGTTTCAGAAGTCGAGAGGGAAAGAATAAACATACACTCTCAGAACCGGCCGCTCCTACTTGCTCTTACTCGAGTTGGATCAATCACGTCTAGCTTAATTTTTAACAGATTGAACTAATTATTTTTTCCGTTTTAAATAAAACCGCAACGTAGAAGCAACGAAATTATCAGATTAATTTTGACTGACAGATGCTACTGTCGATTCATGTTGATTCACCCGATCTCGAGACTTTCAGAAACAATTAAGGCAAATTTTCGTGACGATTCGGCATCGCTCGGCTTGGTTCGGCAAACAGCAGACGACAAGGGCTGCATTCGAGGAGCGCGCTATCAGCGCTATTTGTGTCATCTATCCTTTTCTCACGTTTAATGGACGATGAAGATAGAATGACACAAATAGCGCTAATAGCGTCTCCCCGAATGCAGCCAAGAAAGACTCGAAGTCAGATTCCAGAATTTCCAAAAGCATCAAAAAGAGGAACACACCGGACATACGTATTTTGTTATTAAAACGCAGTGTGAACAATCGGAGAAACGTAAATTTTTCAGGAATTGTTGTCTTTAATAGATATGATAGAGAACCTCGCAGCGAAATTATGTTCGCTTCTGTCGGAAAATGCCAACACAGGTAACTGTCGCGATTGTTAATTTATTAAATAATAAAGATGATATTGAAATGTAGGATATCTTATCTTTATAAAAATATTTTGCACATCATCGTACATGTAAAAATAATGACATAAACGATTATATAAGATATTTGGAGCACAACAGATAATTTTCAGTGTTAATCAATGTAAATTATTATATTATAAGACTATTTATTGAGAAAAAAGATCCCTTTATTTCCTTAGCCGAACAATGGAAGTTACTTGGACAAGAGAAAGACGGTTCGATACTTATTGGATGGATGGAAGAATCAAAGAGGAACGATGTATGCATATCATGTACTGTAGTCGGTCGTTACGACCAGATTGACAACAAATTACAGGTAAGGACCATGAGAAAAAAGAATCTTTTGCCACATGATTATTTTTTTAATATTGATTGGATTAGGTACTGCACCGCTTTTCGGAAGTACTAAACGTTGTTCAAGCTACGGTCAATCAAAGTCATACTCTGATGGGATATGTGACGAAACAGAAAAGTTGCCTGAAAACGTCAGATCCTCTGGAAGATCGCTGCTCAGAGCATGAATCCTATGGAGAATTCTACAGAGTGTTCATTGTAGAATTAACTAATGACGATACCAAAGTACACGATTTGGAAATAAAGAGATCTGAACAAGTGCGGATACAATTCCTATACAGAGAAAAAGAGCAACTGGGTGTAGATAAATTTCTAGTTCTGATACATCATGAATGTGAGTAGATTGTATTATAGTTTTTTGTTTTACTATTATTGGAATTTTACTACCATTTGTGTATAAAAATAGAATTTTTAAATTTGAAGTTAAAATATATAGTTGGAACAAATATTTTATATATAATCATTAACATACCTTTGCAATTTGTGTGTTATTTTAAGGTATTCTGACATATACTGCTCAATTCGATACATCTGTAAGCCATTCAAGACCGATAAAGGAACTGAAATCCGAAATACTTGTAAAAACGTTTATATGGGCTCAATGGGATATGATTAATCAAGTCCTTTACCACATACATCATCGACGAATTCCTGCAAGTGTGGTTACTGAAAATGAGGACGAGAATAATTCCAGGTCTTCTAAACCAACCCTCAGTGGTCTTCAGTTTCATGATGACTTGCCTCATGAAACAGTGGTGAGCATTTGATAATGAAGAACAACAAGAATATATGTATATCATCTATCCAAATTATTAATCTATGTAACTTTTATTAACTGTCTATTGAATTTATATAATATAGATTATATGCCAAATTGATTAATATGCCTAATTTAATATATCTCGTATGCTTGTTAATTAAACTTCGTAGCAAAATGCATGGCGTCGTATTAGCATAAAACTTATTGTATCTTTTTAGCTGAATATCCCATTAAACTTACCGCTACTGTCGCCGTCCTCTAGTTGCGGGACTTACGAAGATGACGTGATACCCCTGCGAGTCCACGATTGTTCCCTAGATCTTATAGTGGTGTCGGACACCAAGGGGATGGTCTGCGTTTGTCACTACTATCTTTATCGACCTGTACAGCCGCCGCAGCATGTACTTAACTCCTTGAACGAATCCAACACGGTGCATTTTGCATACTCGGTGACGCTGCTGCATCACAGTTGCGTGATCCATTGTGTTATACCGGGTATATCGTGGTCGCGTGCCAAGCTGATGAGGCCAACTTTCGCGATTTATGAGAGCCATCATATGATCGTATTCGTACCGGGACTATTCGTACATCTTCTCGAGATCGGCGTGAATCACGAGCCCTGCTGTCATATACTGTGCGGTCCACCACCGTCAATTCCATCTCGTGTCTCTTATCTGGTACCACTATTCGATTTAGATAATCCTAGTAAAGGAATAAGAAGAAGTTCCCATCACAATAATCCCGATGGCAAGAGTTCAGATGGAAATAGTCTACTCGCAAATTCTAACACGAGTATACTGACGATAGATTTACCTACTTTAGACCTCGTGCAGTTGACGATTCCTTCAGATTTTCTTATTGAGGTTTTTCGTAAAGAGACTTCTGTGGAAGTTCGCTTGGGAATACTTCATTATTTTCTCTGTCATAAAAACGACATAGAAATTATCGCGGAGTTAATGTCCATTATCGCAGAGAAGCCGCGCTCATTAGACATCCCACGCTTTATGCAGGAAATTCTTATAGGAAACTCTTACGCTTTAGTACAAAAAAATCTTCTTGCTGATACTATTCCTTTACTATCCCTATTGCCCGTTACTACCATAGGCGATTATATGACTTTCGATATAAAGATGAACGATTTAGAGATCAAACTGAGTCACGAGAAACTTTGGAACACATCAGTAATGTTACTTTCGCCGCAACAAAGGCTCGTTCCTTATCGTAGTGATTTATGGACTAGATTGTGGGATCAGTTGAGCAAAAATGGTAGTGACAAACTGAGATTCAGACCTAGTCATATTGCGGAAAAACTGCTAGTTTCTTTGGCTTGTTATCAACCAGAAGCGTTATCCAGATGCAGTACTCCAATGTCTCCAAGTGGAGGGTAATAACATTTCTCATGCTAATTCCGTGTAACTAATTGCATGCTAATGTGAAAGTAGTGCAAATTCGCCTTATTTGTGTTTTCTTCTTGAACAAAGAAATATACACATATTTATCTATTATTTGTATGTAATCTATATGTATATTATTTAGACAGTTGCTTATAAAATTAATACAAGTTCTTCTTTATATTGTTTTATACAGAAAAATTTTTTATATTAACCAGATTTATAAATAATAATTTCAATAATAAATAATAATGTTTAACAGATTTGTTGCGATGCCGCTTGGAGACTTCATGAGTAATCGAAACATCAAGTTGGATTCAGGCTTACCGTTTAACGAGACAGAAAGTTGCACTGCTTCGAAACAGGAGCACATTGTGTCTGTTAATTTGCGAGAACTTTCGATGTATCTTCTAAAGAATGGCACGCATACGTCAACTATACATACGCGAGGTTCTTGTACCCCGTTACATGTTCATGCCATGGCCACGAGATACGTGGCTGCGCAATTGGAAGCGTCACGTATATTGTGTCAAATACTTTGTAGAGCAGCTGGAGTTGATCCGAGAATTGAGCAGGAACGTGGTTTTAGTCTCATGTAAGACCTTATTTTATATACAGTATAATTTTATATATACTGCTATATTAATTATGATTTATCTAATAAATAAATGTAAATTTATAATTTGTACATTGCATTCTACAGTATCAAATAGTATCTAAATTTAAACTTGAGCATTTATTTATCTCATAACTGCATTGAATATAATGTTATTTTTGTAGAGACCAATTAGACGAAGCAAGACGATGGTTGTTGTTTATGCTCTTACAGCGATATAGGTACTCTATAGAGAGCATCGCTTTCCCAGCGCCACAAGGATTTGCGTCGTTTTTTACTTATCTTGGCTATCGTACTCTTAAATTCTCAATGTTTCTGCAATACATTGAACGCTCAGTATTTGAACTTCAAGTTGATGTCACCAAGATTATCTTAGCTGGTATATATCTATGTAATAAGAAATTATTGTATCTTTACTGCAGTTTTTAAGTATAATGTAGATAGAAGATATATACATTCTAATATAAGCTGATGATCTCCCGTTTAGATATAAGCGATACGAAAGAAAATGTCGTTCAGAAATTGAAGTTGTTGTCCTTGTTACCAAGATCTCGCGCAAAGAGACTCTTGAATCAATGGTTACATCCAATTAGTTTAATGTTGCGAGCCAGAGAACACGCCGCTAATATTCTGTGCGGCGAAGTATCCCAGAGTCGAATCAGTAGTCGGACTTTACAACACCGTAATCATCATAATAGTGAGTAAAATATACATATTTTAATATTTTAATAAATATAACTTTTATTATGCAAGCATAAATTGTTTTCAGGTTTGGCAGCGTTTCCTTCTGCGGATCGTTTGTCACCATTAGATACCTTTCTGGATTTACTTACTGCAAAAGGTGAGACTTAATTGAATGACATTCTCAACACAATTAATTATGTTATCTTAAGGATATTTTTTAAATATAATTTTTGTTTTGCAGCTAGTCTTACAGAATTAGATTTCGGACTATTGATAGAAGCGACAGTAACATCTACGGAGGATTTTCTCTAATGGAAATTAAATTTAGCTTGTAAATCGAAAAATGTCTCAAATAGTCATTTGATTTAATAATTACTGAATCAATTAGGTGGCAAATGTAGGAAGCGTCCCGTTTGATTACGCGATTGACTTATAGCCACTCATAGTAATCAGTGCTTGGATTTTTGCCACTGGACCAACAAATCAGAAAATTTTATATTAAATTAACGAATTAATGACGTAGACAAACGGATCTCACTCCAAATTTATATAGAATTTCTATGTATTTGCACTTACATCGTATAACTTTCATATAATTCTTAAATCACATCCGTGTGTATGAAATTAATTTTTTTAAGTTAAGGATCAAAGATTAATTGCAAGAGATATTATATACTTATAAATAATTTGTATTTTAACAAGAATCTCCAAAATAGCAAGTGCCATGGAAGTTTAGTTACCAGTAGTAATTACAAAATTTAATATCAATAAGTGAAAGTAACACATCTAGTTACTTGACAAGCTTAATTAAGTACTGCATATTGCAGATATTTATGACCGCGTTTTGGAAGTTTTTACCTTTCATGCGAATAATTTCCGTCTTGGTATAGGCCAAAGCTAGATAATGAGAAATAATTATTGTAAGCATCATTTATTAAAAAGCGTTCGCGCTGTTGTTACTCTCTGCTTTTCATATCTTTATTATTACATTCCTACGCGGATATAAGAAGTACGAAAGAGAGAGGAACTTACGTAGTTAAATAAATTGTAATATCAAGTTTTGTTGATTCTCACTTTTTATATGTGATTTGATATTGTCAATTTAGAATGCCTTGGAGAAATGCTATTAGTACTATTTTTTCCATTTTATCTTTTACGTGTCTAATGAATGATAAAGATAGAATGATACAAATATAGCGCTAATAACATCTCCCCAAACGCACACTTATAATTTATCAAAGACATGTGATATAATGAGTTTAATAAGTATTTGCGACTAGCATCTGCATGATGTCTATTATTGATGTATATGTATATTATACATAAATATAAATTATACATACATTTGTTGTTAAATCTAGTATCTTAGAATTAATTGTTTAATATAACAAAATATGGTGCCCCTAATTTTACGTATCGATAAAGAAGATCATAACGTAAAATGTAAACTTTAAATGCTAAGTACAGAATTTATTAATAAATAAAGAACATATTACAGTAAAAAATTAAGTACATATTTTTATTAAAAAATTAGTGTTCAATTCTCAGATCTGTTATCCAATATAAATGCTATCTAATATACAGAGAGTAAATAATTACTCGTTAGAAGTGCGTCTTTGGACATAATCTAATATTTACAATAATTCTCGAATTTTTTTAAGGCTCGAACAAAGCGATTTTTTTTTTTTTAAAAGTAAAATAAAAATTCATTGTGATATCTCCCCTGATGTGCACTATAGTGCGGTTGAGGTGCACATAATTTTATTTATTATAATTTTTCAAGAACCAACTTGCAAAATTGGGCTCTGTACGTACTTTTGCAGCTTCATAAAAAAAGAAATAAAAAAATCTTATATGGCACAATATTACTTCTAGGAGATAAAATATCAGCATGAAAACATATATCTACACCGCGAATAAGGGGTGTAGATACATATCATTTTATTTATAAGTTTTAGACAATATCATTTTATTTATTATAAGTTTTTAAGAGTGAATTTGTTAAGCGAAATTGCAAAATTCACCTCTTTATCAGGCTTTGTAGTTTTGTAAAACATCAAAACAAATTTTATGTCAAAATATTTTTTCTACAAGACAATATATATATATATATATATACAAGAGTCTGAGAGAGTGCAGATATGTAGCTGCACCGTAAATGGATCTAGAGACTCAAGGTGTCTCAAGATTTGTATTCCGGCCTTTATGCTGTGTGTATGGTGTGTATGAGATGACTCTGTTTAAGGAACATAACCTCCACTTGCAAGTCAACAAGCTCAAACGAAAAGTAACAATTTGCAGCAAACAATAAGAAGTTAAAGCGAACGAAAGCGTGAAATGTTTCTGATTGTAAGTTTTACTTATAACGATGATTTTCCCATATTTATGAAATGTTCATTAATTTCTTTTATTTTAATTCTTTATCGTTTTATATACGAACTATAGATTCGTTAACCATGACGGATATCACTTTGACAAGCGAGCAAACGAAGTTTATAGAAGAATGCGAGGAGGAGTTCAAGGACCGGTATACAGAGAAGGATGGTGATTTCATGAAGATTAAAACACAGGAACCAAAGAAACCGCCAATCGTAGATCCTTGGTATAATAAGCCACGCAGGCACGATTGGTCGCGTCAGAACCAAAATCAAAATCGCGATAGACGTAATCATCACTGGGATCGTCGTAACAATGAAAGAAATGAGAAACTGGAGCGGCATGCTGGTAGACACTTCATACAACATCGGCAAAGGATGTATTAATTCAGCGATGTGGATACAAGCATATGAACTCGAATAACATCATCATCGAAATTTTGTCTTATTTAATTGTCTATGCGTACTGTTTCATTAATAGGTGATATCCATGGAATATTTATGTATAAGGCACTTGTTTATATATATATTTTATTATTAATAATTGATATAAAGTACTTATTTAGTCTACCAAGTATCAACACTTTAATAATGAATAATAATTTCATATTCAAAAGTTCTTAGCCCTACTGAACTGTTATACCAGAGCAGGCAATCATAATAATTTGCTTTATTACATATATTGAAGTTAAGAAAGTCACGATAAGAGCATATTTTCCACAATAAAAGTTCTTTTGTACAGCATATGTACAAAAAAAGATACATGGAAAGGTTTCCAATTGTATAACGTTTGATCTCTTCATAGAATATTTAAGATACAATTACACTTTTATATATATATAGTGTTTATATTCTCATGATAGATATTATATACAACATGTAGCTTACACTACAAATAAATAAACGATACATTAATTCAAATGTTCAGAATAAATATATGAATAATATGCAATTAATTAATAATTTCCTTTAGATATATTTGTATTCCTTGCGCTTTTTGTGTTCAAGAACGAAATAAATAGAGATTCAAGTTTATATGTAAGAAAAGAAAAAAGAAATAGGTACAGAAGGTATAACTAAAAAAACAATCTATTTAAATAGTTTCTGTATGTATATTTATTTATTTATATCTTGTTATATTTATTATTATAGTTTCAAAAATTATTTTAGAAAGAATTAGATTACGCATTATTAAGCTACATATATCAATGAGCAATAAGAGGGTAGAAGCAGACCAATGAATTTATTAAACACAATACTGATGCGTTTTGGAACTCCTCAAAGAGACACGTTTCACCTATAACCTGCTGCTGAATGATTGAACGTACCGATGCGTATCGAATGATACACGGATATACATTTTCGCCGTGCCTGTAACTGTAATTTAATACGTTTATCTCCGTTTATCCTCGTGTTTACTCGCCGACTTTGGTAGCAAAAATACGATTCATTAACTCTCACAGTTGAGTCTTGAGCGGAATTATTTATTATGAGGAGTGATCGCGTTGAACTGTACGAGCTGTGTGATTAAAAAAACGATCTTGCAATTATGTGGGCAGATACTATTCTAATTTTGTTTATCAGTATATGCACGGCGTTACTAGGCGAAGGTAAGAGTACAAATGTATCAATAAACATAGAGGAAGAGAAAAGTAAAACAGTATTTATTTCGATTCAACATGTGTTTACGTTTATCGTTTTATTGTGCCATTTAGGGTTGACATGGTTGATGGTGTACAGAACCGAAAAATATCAAAAATTGAAGGCCGAGGTCGAGAAGCAAAGCAAAAAACGTGAGTTTTTCCTGAGATATGCTCTGTACAACGCATAAACAATGACTATATTAACATGCTTGCTCTCATCTTTTAGTGGAGAAAAGGAAAGAGGCACATGGTGATTCTTTAGACAGGCAACAAAAGAAAAAAATCGAACGGGAGGAGGAGAGGTTGAAGAACAACAATCGAGACCTGTCTCTCGTGAAGATGAAGTCGATGTTCGCAATTGGATTTGCGTTTACGGCGTTATTAAGTATGTTCAACAACATATTTGATGGACGAGTGGTCGCCAGGTTACCGTTCGTCCCGATCAGCTGGATACAAGGCTTGTCGCATAGAAATCTCTCGGGTGATGATTACACGGAGTGCTCGTTCATATTTTTGTACATACTGTGTACAATGAGTATCAGACAGGTAAGTCTGGCTTGTCTTGATTGCATGGGCAAGTACAAATATCTTTTTGGTACTTCTCATTTCTAGAACATCCAGAAAATGCTTGGCTTCGCGCCATCCAGAACTGCGAGCAAACAGAGTGGCAGTATCTTTGGACCTCCACCTCAGCAATTTAAATAAATTTAAATTTAATGAATTGTTACTGATATTTTTATAGAGATCTCTTTTATATATCTTATTGTGTGGTTCTGAGAATTTATTTATATTTAATCTTTGTAATCTTCACACTCTACTTCCTGCATTGAATTATATTTAAATGTCTTCAGATTTTCCTACAATCTCTAATCTTTGAATATAAAATAATTACCTTTGCGCTTATTGGAAAATATGTTAAAATCTGTTAAAATCTATTAAATTGATAAATTTAATAGACTAAAAAAATAGACATGAACTGTGGTACAAGATATTTTGAGGTATCTTGTTACTTCAGCGAATATGTTATATATAATAAAGGATATTTTTAATTCACAAAATTATTGGACAGTTTTAAAAAATAATTGTGATTTATGTATTTTCTTTAAGCTTATACAACATGTTATATATACAAACATAATGTTCAACCATATACAAAAAGGTGTAATTAATCATCTTACGAGGTAAAAAATTTGCATTTGGACTGCTATAATGATTCAGATTACAAAGAATTATTACATGATTTTGTACATCATACTCGAGAAAATTAATTCAAATAATATCAGGTCTATTATAACTTTAAAGAGCATGTACATATGATTCCCATTAAATATTACTGTCCTGGTCTTTTCATTGTTACACAACTAATTGTAAATCTAACAGTCTATCACTATATAGAGAATAATCTGCTTATATATATATATATAATGCAAACATATTTTCAAAGAATCTACACATAAAAATTATTATGCTATAATGTATGAACTTGTCCATTTTTTTTTTGTTAAACTTTCGCT